CATAGATTGCAAAATCATTGAAATGTCATGTGGTAGTCTGTAGGTAGGATGTGTTCTTGTTTAATTTTTATTCAAGTAAAGTCAATTGATTAAAAAGGCTCAAATGGTGCTTTCGTGAAAACGGTGCATCCAACGGAAAAAAGTGAAGAGGTCAAAAATGATATCAAATTTTTTTTTTTGAAAAAAGCAAGGACGTACATTTTTTTTAAATCTCCTTCCCATACAGACGCCACGGTTAGAAATAGCGAAAAATATTTTAGATCAAAAAATGCCTATTGGTACTTAGTAGGTGCATGTCAAAAATGATGATAATATCTTGAGCAGTATTGAACTTTTCTTAAAATTTTAACACCCTGTAGCTCAAGAGTTAAGAGGTTTAGGATATAATGTTCATATCAACTTGTCTTCCTAAAAGAGAAAAATCCTCTTGAGACAGGAATCAGACCCGCGCAGCTTACGGCGAACCATACCCTCTACCACTACATTACCGAGCTGCCTATCCCCAGTTTTACTGATCTTAAATAGTTCAAAGCTTGTATTGCAAGCGTCGTTTGCAATAATAATACTTCTCCCGCCTACAGGTAGGAAGTGAGACGTCCTAAATTCCTAGAAATACGAACGCAAAACATTCCACTGACATAAAAACGTCGCCTTTACAAGTATTAATTCTGAAACTAATTAAGTCCTCGAAAGCTGTTTCATCTGTTTCATGCTTCCCTTTGATTTGCTACGACGTATATTTCTGAGGCCAGCTTTGTATAAATTCAATTCAATGTGGAACTTAGAACACAGAGCATCTGCACCTGACGTCTTGGATGAGAACGCAAATTAGATATTTCATTGCAGTTTATTGCTGCTGTGTCTATAAAGGAATTTGTTGTTGATATCGTCGCGTATACTCCTTTAATGGAGATGCAGTCTAGTAGATTAATTTGATACTTCATCCAAATTCTCATTCATAGAAATTTTGAATACCCTAAAGTTGCAGTTGCATACAGTTCCTTTCAGAAAGGTCCCCCGCAATTAAATTAGAAATACCTGTAAAAATGATAATAATACTTCGGCCTTATTCATACAAAGTACAAAGAGGAAGAGTGTCGCTAAAAAATCGTTTTTCAACTTAAACCAACATCTATATTTAGTAAATCTTCTGATCCTAATGAAAACAAAAAAGAAAAACCTACATCGCGTCTCTATTCATAGTCATGCTTTACTTACAGGGCGATATAATCGCAGACAAAATGCTTGAATCTTTTTTTTTAATTCTTTATAGAGTAGTGACTGAACTAAGTAAACAACGTATATGTGTAGGGATAACCAATGGATGCTTAATCTATGTATTCAGTTGATTAATATCTGAGTATCCGACAAATTCGGTTGCCAGATATGGAGGGGTGAGTGTTTTGATTACCTGATGGGTCAAGGTCAATACATTTATTTCTTGTAGGTCTTCTATATTTTGAACACCAAGCTCACGATATTTATGTGATACTGTCCCAAATTTTCTCACCCCATAAGCAAATCTAAGACTGGCATTTTGAATAGTCTAAAGTCTCCTTTCCTCTATCGATATTAGCACAGGCTGATAAATAGAGTCGCAGTAGTGAATTCTAGACCATATTCAGGTTCCACACAACTTCAGCCTAAGACCAGTATTCGTGCTTTTGCTGTTAGGAAAAAATTACTTCAGACACCGAATGATGTTCGACACATTTGACTAACATGCCTTTCAAACCTCAATAATTCAGAATCAACCCAGATCCCTAAGTTTTTGCACCCATCTTTTCTAGTTATCGGTTGATCGAAGATACTCAATAATAGTAATGACTACCTGATTTGTTTCATCTTTGCCTCAAATACAGGGTGTTTCAGTTTATTGTTGCATAACTTTAAGATCCGATAGAACTTTTAAAATTAATGCATAAAGTCTATATAAACATGGGTCGAAAAATGCGTGGCTTCCGAAATATAGGGTGTTTAAATTTACTTTCTAAAATAGTTTTTTTAAATATTTCGAACAATATTTGATGTATAATAGTGAAAATTGGTACCCAAGGGTTTTTGGGTACGGCAAAACGAACCATGGGCATCGCTTTACTGTAGCCGCTAGAGGACGCTCTGTACTGAACCTGTAGTGTAGTAAAATGACCTAGCATTTTTTCTTAGTGCAATGTTTTGCTTTTTGAATGAAAAAACTGATTCCTCGCACTTTTCAACATAAAAAACCTCTCTTGTGAATTTTCGTTATAGTCAGCCGTTTTTGAGATATTTCCATTTTTAAGGTTCGATGCATTTTTAATTATTTATGATAAAATAACATTAAAAAGTCAGTATCTCGATAATTTTTAGATGTAGGCTGTGCCTGCAAATATTTTTGAAATTGAAAGCAGAATAAGGTTAACCGTCAATTAGTTGACAGTTAGTTTTGTTGTCTGTTGAAAACTGAAACGTTTTTTTGCAATTCTGAATGCACGAAATTTAGTTTCTTTCACCTGTTTTTTTTTGTAAGTTTCATAAAAATGCCATTTTTATTCTCCAATCAAGAGTTAGCGGATATTCATTTTGTGTATGGCTTTGTAAATGGAAACGCAGCAGAAGCAGCCAGAGAATACGGACGAAGATTTCCAAACAGACGACATCCAACTCGCTCAGTATTTGTAAGAGTACATCGCCAAATAATTGAAAATGGTTTTGGAAATCTCCAAAGGGATCAAAACATAAATGTTCGTCAGCGCAGATTTACCCGTATGATTCTGCGTGAGTTTGATAGAGATCCGACCACAAGTGTTAGGAGAGTTTTGGTGCCTTGGGAATTTCAGCAAGCCATGTTCACCGTGTTCTTAGAAATGACCATAGACGTCCTTACCATTTGCAACCTGTGCAAGGACTACATCCAGGGGACGGAGAACGAAGAATCACATTTTGTCAGTGGATTCTTGATAGAACTGATAATAATAGGGAGTTTTTAAGTAACGTTTTATGGACCGATGAGTCATGCTTCACTAGACGTGGAGTGGTAAATTTTTATAATCAACATATTTGGTCGCATGAAAATCCGCATACAGTTCGGGAAAGAAATTTTCAGCATGAATTTAGTGTGAACGTGTGGATTGGTATCTACCGTAATCGACTATTTGGACCTTACCTTTTGCCTGCAAGGTTGAATGCTGCGACCTTCTTGGAATTTTTTAAGGCTGAACGTGCAAATATGTGGGATGATGTTATGTTAGATTTAAAAAGATTGGCCTGGTTCCAGCTTGATGGTTGTCCAGCTCATTATTCGAGAATAGTTAGAAACTGGCTGGACGAAAATTATCTAGAAAGATGGATCGGCCGTGGAGGACCAGTCGCTTGGCCTCCACGATCCCCTGACCTAAATCAATTAGATTTCTTTGTGTGGGGATTTCTAAAAGAAAAAGTGTACCAGACTCCCGTAATCACAACAGATGTGCTAATAGACAGAATTAGGAATGCATATGATGAAATAAGGCCTTATTTGAATAATGCTATACCACGTTCGATCATTCGTAGATGTGTATTGAACAATTGGGTTTACATTTCGAGCAACTACTTTAGATTTTGCTTGTAATGACTAAATTGAAAATGTAAAAAAAATATTATTTTCCCATAAATAATTAAAAATGCATCGAACCTTGAAAATCGATATATCTCAAAAACGGCTAACTATAACGAAAACTCACAGGAGACCTTTTTTATGTTGAAGTGCGAAAAATCAGTTTTTTTATTCAAAAATCAAAAAATTGCACTAAGAAAAAATTTTCGGTCATTTTAGTACACTACAGGTACAGTAGAGAGCGCCCTCTAGCGGCTATAGTAAAACTATGCCCATGGTTCGATTTGTCGTACCAAAAAACCCTTGTATACCAATTTTCACTATTATACATCACATATTGTTCGAAATTAAAAAAAAAATACTTTAGAAAGTAAATTTAAACACCCTGTATTTCGGAAGCCACGTATTTTTCGACCCATGTTTATATATACTTTATGCATTAATTTTAAATGTTCTATCGAATCTTAAAGTTATGCAACAATAAACTGAAACACCCTGTATAGCTCTGGATGCGTTTAAGGGATTAATTTTGACATTATGGGCACAAGATCCGTTAGATAAATGCATTAAGTCATTATTAATCAAAGCCAAAGTATGATTGAGTGTCGTCAGCGCAATGATTAGTACTGCCGTGTTCAACGTACTCGTGGAAGTCATAATTTGAGATTAAACGACTTACCTAGTAAGGAAGTTCAATAGGAATTATTTGAAGTCCGGTTCACTAGAACACATATCGTAGAAGGCGATTCGGTAACGAAGCGGGCCACCTGTGAAAAGTAACATGGATCCCCATCCCCTCCCTACGAATATCTCATTATGCTTTTTATTTGCTAGTCATTTTATTTTTTGGGTATGTGGTACTACGCGTCTAGGATGGGGTGGGATGCGTTCTAGTGGACCGGAATTCGAATAATTCCGATTGAACTTCCTTACTAGGTAAGTCGTTTAATCTCTAATTATTCTTCAGTCCGGTCCATTAGAGCACATATCGTAGATGTTTAAAGTATTAAATGAGCTAGCAAATGTCATTATGTAATAACATAAAGAGGAATTAAGGAATAATAAAATTATTAGATATGGATTGAATATGAAGTATTTTAATACAATATGTAAGAACAAAGATTTTTTCATATATTTCCTTTACTTTTTTTTATATATCTATTAATTAAGGCAGAACAACTAACAATTAGTTTATATGCAATAACAACAACGTAACAAGAAATAGAACATACGATATAGAAACGTCCTTATTCTAAACCTATATGTTATAGACCAACAAACGTAACTAGAGTCTAACACAATATTTTAGTAGGTAGTAATGTAATTAATCCCTGCGTGACCTGAGTTGTTTGTTTTCCGTACCAGCTAGTACGCTATTTATGAAAAAACTGCTATCTAACGGCCTGTTATAAAACTTAAAAAACACGTTAGACCGTTCTGACCAGCCTACTGTGGCTCTTATAGTTTCAATGTTAGTACCTGATCTGTAGGCTGCAGAAACAGCTGCATGCCCAGTACTGTACCCAGAGTATGTACCAGTATTTATTCCAGCCAGGCCTAGAATTTTCTTTAACCACCTGGAAAGAGTTTGAGTCGAGGCTGGATGGTACGGTTTTTTAATGGTCAAAAATAACTCCCGTATATTATTTCTTATGTTCTGACTTCTACTTAAATATTCTATCAATGTGCTAGATAGACATAGCTCTGGGGTCTCTCTAAAGAAGGGGAATCTCAGTCTAGGTTGGATCCTACCGGGGCCTGATGTTTTTAGCATATCCGGTATTAAAATCTCTACGAAGTCAGTTCTTTGATAAATATTATCTATACTAAGTGACATATAAATCCGAACACCCAGTTTTATTTTAATAAAATTTTGTATAAGTACTTAATGAAGCATAATAAGTAAATGATAAAAATTTCAAAATGAATGCACTGCTTTAAAGCCCTTTGACCTTTAATAATGTGTGGATGCACCCTGATGTGCCACGCATTCTCCAACGCGCCTAGGCATGCTTCTGATCAGGTGATCAATGTCCTCCTGTGGTATCTCATTCCAGGCAACCACCAACTCCTCTCGAAGTGCTTCTAGAGTCTGAGGAGGACGTTGCAAATTGAGCAATCTCCTACCCATCATATCCCACACGTGCTCAATTGGGGATAAGTCGGGAGATCTTGGTGGCCATGGTAACAATGTGACATCATTATGTTGAAAGAAGTCTATTGTGACTCTTGCAACATGTGGTCGGGCATTATCTTGTTGGAAAGTTGGATCTGCCAGGGTGTCAAGATAGGGTAAAAGATGGGGTTCTAGAACTTCGTGGATATAACGCTGCGCGTTCATGTTACCTCTGATGAAGATTAAAGGTGACCTGGAACCATAAGCTATAGCACCCCAAACCATAACTCCAACAGTGTGATGAACATGTCTTTCAACAAAAAACTGTGGATTCCTCCTTTCACCACGTCGCCTTCTAACCCTGGCACGACCATCGTGCATGCCTAAACAAAATTGAGACTCGTCACTAAAGACAATACTGTTCCATTCCTGATCCCAGAGTGACCGTTGTCTGCACCACTCAAGGTGATTGCGTCGGTGTTCTCGAGTTAAAGGGAGGACCCAGTGTGGCCGGTATGAAAACAAGCCAAAACTTCTCATTGGTCGGTAAACACTTCGCATGCCAATAGGTCTTCCGTGTTCTGCAAACCATTAATTTGCAATGGACCTGGTAGTGGAGAAACGGTCCCTTAAGGCCAATAATCTTAGACGGCGATCTTCACGGTCTGTTAATCTACGGCGGCCTCCAGTGCCCCTTGCTATTTGCGTACGGCCTTCTCGAAGCCATGCCTGACAATACCTACCCACAGTGTCTACACTTCTTTGCACTCTAACTGCAATTGCCCGAAAAGGAAGTCCAGCTTCCCGAAGTCCCACTATACGGCCCCTATCAAACTCACTAAGTTGACGAAATCGTACAGGTCTCCGTACTCTAGGCATCGTAACCGATCGTAAAGGATGTCAAGAACCAAAATCCGCCAACGTTGATTCTTTACTGCGGCTGAAATATTCATTTTTAGAGCGTTAGTGAATTAAAAAAAAACAGTATAAAAACCGGAATGTCCAACTGATAAGGCTGAACATTTTTTCACTTGTTATTTACAGTAAGATAAATACATTCACCAACTTTAATTAAAATAAAACCATTTAAACTGGGTGTTCGGATTTATATGTTTATATCCCACACGTGCTCAATTGGGGATAAGTCGGGAGATCTTGGTGGACATGGTAACAATGTGACATCATTATGGTGAAAGAAGTTTATTATGACTCTTGCAACATGTGGTCGGGCATTATCTTGTTGGAAAGTTGGATCTGCCAGGGTGTCAAGATAGGGTAAAAGATGGGGTTCTAGAACTTCGTGGATATAACGCTGCGCGTTCATGTTACCTCTGATGAAGATTAAAGGTGACCTGGAACCATAAGCTATAGCACCCCAAACCATAACTCCAACAGTGTGATGAACATGTCTTTCAACAAAAAACTGTGGATTCCTCCTTTCACCACGTCGCCTTCTAACCCTGGCACGACCATCGTGCATGCCTAAACAAAATCGAGACTCGTCACTAAAGACAATACTGTTCCATTCCTGATCCCAGAGTGACCGTTGTCTGCACCACTCAAGGCGATTACGTCGGTGTTCTCGAGTTAAAGGGAGGACCCAGTGTGGGCGGTATGAAAACAAGCCAAAACTTCTCATTCGTCGGTAAACACTTCGCATGCCAATAGGTCTTCCGTGTACTGCAAACCATTCATTTGCAATGGACCTGGTACTGGAGAAACGGTCCCTTAAGGCCAATAATCTCCCGAAGTCCCACTATACGTCCCCTATCAAACTCACTAAGTTGACGAAATCGTACAGGTCTCCGTACTCTAGGTATCGTAACCGATCGTAAAGGATGTCAAGAACCAAAATCCGCCAACGTTGATTCTTTACTGCGGCTGAAATATTTATTTTTAGAGCGTTAGTGAATTAAAAAAAAGCAGTATAAAAACCGGAATGTCCAACTGATAAGGCTGAAAATTTTTTCACTTGTTATTTACAGCAAGATAAATACATTCACCAACATTTATTAAAATAAAACCATTTAAACTGGGTGTTCGGATTTATATGTCACTTAGTATAAATGCTTATAAGAGTCACAGTCCTAGGTGTTCGAAAATTAATATCCTCTACAGGATTGATGCCAAGCAAGGTTATCGATAATTTTTACTTCTTGAGTCGGTCAAGTTGGCATCTTGAGATATGCTTTTAGCCTTAGAATATGGATTTACTATATTTCTGATGGTCGAGTAACGGACTATTACGGATGAGCGTTTTTGACATTGAATCGCTTGTAACTCGACCACTGATCATGAAAACGTCTTTTGGACGGGTATGTATTAATATGCAATAAAATATGGGACGTATCGTTGAAAAATATTGATACGTATTGAAAAAGATTATGTAGTATGCTATATAACATATTTTATTGCATACTTGTACAGATTCTTTCAAAACAATAAAATTGATCAAACATATTTCGTTCGTTGTTTGTTGAGTTTTAAGCGATTCAGTTTACAAAGATTTTCAACGGCCTGGCTGTCCACCACTTGGAAAGGTTGTGAATTTATATTCTAGGATTATACGGTACTCGCTACAATGACCATCCTCTATTAAAAAAATGCTTTTGAATGGCGTAACGTAATTTAGTAACGGTGATTTTTTAAGAGGCATAGGATTTGATTTTCAAAAAAAAACACAAAAAATTTGAAAAAACGATTAAATATTTATTTGAGTCGATAGAACGGTCGATATAATTTAATGTTTAAAGATTATTTCATGTAAATGTTGGCCGCGGCTCCGCTTTAGACGGCCCATGCGCAAGGTCCAATTTTGGCAGACTCTCTCCAACATATCGGCCGGTATCTCACGAATAAATGCGTCAATATTGGCTTCCAGTGCGTCAATCGTTGCTGGTTTATCCCAGTAGACATTAGCCTTAACATGGCCCCACAAGAAATAGTTAACGGCGTTAAATCACACGATCTAGGCCCCAAACGTGAGATAAACTGTTCACCGAACTCGCCTCTCAATAGGGCCATTGTTTCGTGTGCGGTGTGGCATGTGGCACCGTCTTGTTGAAACCAGATGTCAGCCAAGTCCAGCTCTTCCATTTTGGGCAAAAAAAAGTTTGTATTCATCGCACGGTAGCGCTCGCCATTCACAGTTACGTTCCGGCCATTGTCGTCTTTGAAGAAGTACGGCCCAATGATGTCACCGGCCCATAATCCACACCAAACAGTGATTTTTTTGGGATGCATTGGTAGCTCTTGCAATGCTTCTGGCTGGTCTTCACTCCAGATGCGGCAATTTTGCTTGTTAACGTACCCATTCAACCAGAAATGAGCTTCGTCGCTGAACACAATTTTTCAATAAAAATGTGGATCTTCCTCCAACTTTGCCAGCGCCCACCAAATGGGAAACTTTGTGGGAGGTCGTGTGGCTTCAATTCTTGCACCAGCTGTATCTTATAAGGTTTTACACCCAAATCCTGTCGCAAAATTTTCCACGTAGTGGAGTAACAGAGGCCCAATTGCTGCGAACGGCGGCGAATCGACATTTCACGGTCATCACTAACACTGGCGGATACAGCCGCAATATTTTCTTCAGTCCTCACTCTACGTCTGCGTGTTGATGGTTTAATGTCCAATAATGTAAACAGGGTTCGAAATTTAGTCACAAGCTTCCGAATAGCTCCCTCAGTAGGCCGACCAAATTGCCCATAAATTGGAAGCAGTGCTCGATGCACTCTCTTAACCGAGCATGAATTTTGATAGTAAAATTCAATAATTTGCAAGCGTGGTCGATTCATGGTTAAACTATAGACCAAACTGAACAAGTTTGACAATGACACAAGACACGATTCACGCGTCATCTGTCAAAAACAGTGTTGCCAAAAAGATACTAGCAAAAAAATCACCCATTATTTGTCATTCATTAGCATTATGCGCTTCTAATGCATGTGACCCGAGACATTAGACATTTTACTAGAAATATTTACTCTTATTTTCAGAATAGTTATAAAAGGATTTAAAGAATTTCAAACCTTTCTCAACATTAAGCCCCATAAACAGCCCAGCTCAGGCGATATGGTTGTCTTGAAATGCGGCAATATTGCGAGTTTTTGAGCAAAATGAGGCATTCAAACCTTACTTTAGAAGTGAGGTATCTGATAAACGGTGCTACGGAAATCAATGATATACAACTAAATTATACCTGCAGTTCTTAGAACATGTTTTGCCAACTTTCCATTATTTAAATTCACAGTTTCAATCAGAAAATCAAAAAGTGTATTATTCATACTCAAAAATCAGTGCTGCCTAAAAATATTACTAAGATTTTACATAAAACCCAAATATTTAAAGTACACTGATGTAACACAACTCCAGTATCGTAATCCTGCATATGAAACCCAAAATAGCAATAGAGCAACAGCTGCTGCAACTTTGATGTATCAAATAAAATATTGTCACTACACA